CAGCTTAGTATTAATATATTTAGTAAGTTCTATTAATCCTTTGTGTTATCTTGTAACAGTTTTTCATTTGGCATATTATGAATATTTTCCTACAATTATATATTTAATGCTTTAACCCTATCTCTTTTTGGCTAATACATGCTGTTAATATTTTGGGTCATACTTCTCCATCCACCAGCACCCCCCGCCCCATTTTACTGAGCCATATTTGTATATATACTTTTTTTTTTCAAAAGATGATATAAGCCTATCTTAATTGCTTTACTCACTGACTCTGTGTAATAAACATCCTTCCCATCAGTGAGATGTCATCTGTATTATACGTAGACAAATACGGTAGAGCTGTGTTGTAACATCTTGCTACTATATTCTGTAAGATGTAACAAACCACCTTATTTGATACATTTGATGAATTTCCATTTTTTATATTTTTTATTTTTTTAAAGATGTGTTTATTATTATTATAGAGAGAAAACATGCGTGTGTGCAGGGGAGCGGGGGTGCAGTTAGGGGCAGAGGGAGAGGGGAAGAGAGAATCTCAAGTGCACTCCACACTTAGCATGGAACCCGACACGGGGCTGATCCCAGGACCCTGAGATCACAACCTGAGCTGAAACCAAGACTAGGATGCTTGACCGACTGAACCACCAAGGCACCCCATTCTTTTTTTTTTTTTTTTAATAATACAACTGTTGGATTGGGAGTCATTGATCAAAGATTGTTCATATTTGTTTCCCACAGAAAGTTCATACTCATCTGTTTCGTTAGCATGGAATAAAAAAGCCCATTTCTTTAAAAAGGCAATAATTTTAGGCATTCATGTTATTTTTAATCTTTACTGTATTACAGATCTGAAAACTTCATTGTTGCCCTATTTTCTAATATATACTGTCTCTCCTGTAGATTTTTAAAAAAAATTTTTTAATTAAGATATAATGTATTATTTGCTCCAGGGGTACAGGTCTGGGAATCATCAGGCTTACACACTTCACAGCACTCACCATAGCACATACCCTCCCTAGTGTCCATAACCCCAGCCCCCTCTCCCTCCCTCCTCCCCCCACAATCCTCAGTTTGTTTTGTGAGATTAAGAGTCTCTTATGGTTTGTCTCCCTCCTGATCCCATCTGTTTCCCATAGATTTTGTTAATGAATTACAGATTCATGCATGCTATTTGCCCACTTTTTGTTTGGAATATTCATTTTTTAAAAATTGACTTGAAGGTATTACATTTGTGATATTTTGCTTAAAGCGCTTTGAGAACATTTGGAGGAATCTAGGAATGTGAAGATCAGATTCTGGGGTGTATGCTGAGTCCTTGAGAATTTAAGGTATCCCCCACAAGGTATTAATGTTTAAACAATTGAAGCCACCAGACCAAAAAAAAAAGAAAAAAGAAAAAAGAAAAAAGAAAGAAAGAAATCTTTGGACATTTTTCCTAACTAATTTGATGGTCAGGGTAAATTGGAATGCCTAATTATAGATGTCACTAGATTCTTTAAATAGAATTACACTCATAAGTCAAATAAGACAATTCATAACAATTTGGTTCGGCATTTTAATTTTGTCCGTTAAATTATTCATGTGAATACTTTTATGAGTTTAGCCATAAATATTTGATTGATGGTTCCTTCATGACCATAAACTATTTCAGTCCTTCATTTTTCTCATTTATGTTCAGTGAACATACAGGAAGGTGGGGAGAATTTATTTTTCTTAATAACGAGAAACGTCTTTCCCCACAGAGTTATTGAGCCTGTCTGATGAGCATTTATGATGGCTGGAGGTCCACATCATACCTGTTCTGATCGTTTCACCAGGGTGGTGATAAGAATCCTCATTACCTAGAGGGGAAAATATAACTCTCTGTCTTCGGGCTGAGGGAACTGACATTTGGAGAGGTGGGGAATTTTCCAGAAGTTGCACAACACGTTGGTTGGTGGCTGAGTCTGGATTCCAATCTGGGTCAATGTAGACTGAAAGATGGAATCTTTGCCATCTCCCAGTGACTGTCATGACTGGTCCTCTCTGATCCAAGCCTGTGGGCAAATAAATGGCCATTCTCTGAGCGCACTCCTCCATTGGCAGGCACATTTACGAGGTAGACTCCAAAATCTAGAAAGTTGTGTTCTGCTTCTGTTTTTTTTTTTTTTAAGATTGTATTTATTTATTTGACAGACAGAGATCACAAGTAGGCAGAGAGGCAGGAAGAGAGAGAGAGAGAGGGAGAAGCAGGCTTCCCGCTGAGCAGAGAGCCCGATGCGGGGCTCGATCCCAGGACCCCGGGATCATGACCGGAGCCGAAGGTAGAGGCTTTAACCCACTGAGCCACCCAGGCGCCCCTGCTTCTGTTTTCTAAGCACCTGGCTGCATAGACAAAACCTTCCCTGGTATAAACAGGTGTCTGTAGGCACCTCCCAATGTAGGCATGTTTGAGCAGGTGCAAGGACTGGCAGGCAGGTGAGTGTGGGCAACTAGATGGGGATGTCACAAGATGCTTCTTATAGGCGACTTCGAAGAGTGTGGCTTTTGATAGACGATGACTGGTGGCTTAGTGGGGTCATAAGTCCTCTTATGATCATTCTGTCCCTCTTGACCCTAAACAGGGTGAGGCGTGCTTCTGTGCCAGAGAAAGGGAAGAGTACTAGAAGCATCACCTGTTCCAATGAGGAGATGCTGGGTGGGTGCCTGGATAGGGCTGCTCACCAGAAACACCAAGCCATCATTAGAAGCCTGGGATTTTCAGCCCCATCTCCATCCTCCAGGGAGGGGAGAGGGGCTGGACATGGAGTTCAGGGTGGATCATGTCTGTGTGATGAAACCTCCATAAAATCCCAATAATAAGGGCTCCCAGAGAGCTGCCGGGATGTGCTGGGAATGTACTGGAGAATGCTGGAAACCCCGCATCCCTTCCCACATACCTCACCCTACACATCGCCTCCATCTGGCTGTTTGTCTGTGTCCTCTATCCCAGCCCTTCGTAAGCTGGCAAACAGAAGTACCCGTTTCCCTGAGTCTGTGAACACTCTGGCCCATTAGTCAGACTCAAGGCATGTGTCATGGGAGACTCTGATGGACGCTCTGTCACTCAGAAAGCACAGGTAACAAGCTGGGCCTGTGGTTGGTGTCCCACGCTGGGAATGGGCCGTTCTGTATGACTGAACCTTTCCTTGTGGGGTCCCACACTCTCCAGGGTGGTGTCCAAAGTGAGCTGGTTGTGGGACACCCAGGTGGTGTCATGGAGAATTGCTTGATGTGTGGGGAAAGGCCCCACATTTGGTGACCAGAAATGTCAAAAGTGAAGGGTTATCTGTGAAGGTAAGGGATGCCTGGTGGCTCAGTTGGTGAGGCTTCTGCCTTTGGCTCAGGTCACGATCCCGGGATCCTGGGATCAAGTCCCACATCGGGCTCCCTGCTCAGCGGGGAGTCTGCTTCTCCCTCTCTCCGCTCATGCTCCATCTGTCTATCTCTTTATCAAATAAATAAATAAATAAATAAATAAATAAAATCTTAAGGGAACAAAAAAAGAGAGAGAGACTCACAGGGAGGACGGAGTAGAAAGCGCCTGGGCATTACTGTGCTCAGGAGAGACAGTGACCTGACTTCCTGTACAGGTCTCAGTGGATCTGTCTGTACATGCCCCGTGACTCATTCTCACCTTCCCCAGGCTTTCTTGGTACCAGCCCTTTCGGCTCTGCCCATGCTGATCGCAGCACTCGATTACCCTGGGTTGGGTCATTTTTTAATATTTTTCTCTCAGCCCCTAGGTGATGTCTTTTTTGAGGACAAAGCCGGAATAGTCCGGAACCTGCCGCAGGACATTGACTCACTCCATACATATGTAACAAAGGAAGGACTTAGTCCACAGACATGTTTTTGTCCCCAGCTGCTCCTCTCTGGCTCTGTGCTCACTGCTGTTATAAATAATTTATCTTCCAAAATGATTGCTCTGGGGGACTTTAACCAGATCCGCTGTGCTTTAGTAACTGCCTTTCCGTTGGGTATTTGTAAGCAGGGCCATCAAGTCAGCACACCTGACCTCTTAGAAGGGCACCCTTCCCGTTCAAATACTTCCTGTTGGGTTTTCTGGAAGGCTTTGGAAGGGATTGCTAGGAGGAGTGGGGGCATGGCTGCGTCCTTCCTGTGGACAGGGATCGGGGCTGCAGACCTTTGGTCCACTTCTCGCTTTCCCCTGGTTTTTCATCTTCACACTGGACGTGAGAGTTTTCGGTACCAGCTGCTTGGCTCACCCTGGGACAGGTCTACTGCAGCCTCTTCTGTGTGGCCCCCAGATGGCCCCTCCGATAGGGACCCAGCAAGGGGAGCAGGACAGCCCCAATGTGCGCTCAGGCCCTGCTGTCCAGCCTCCCCTCCTGAGCATGGCTCGGTGAAGGTGGGTCTTGGAGCTGGCGGTGGAAGGAGAGGAGGGCCCGGTGGCTGAAGCCTGGAGGGTTGGGGGGCTCACTTGGAGCTGGACATGTGCTCCTGGAGACCACGCTGGCCTCTTCTCTACCAGGGATGCCCCCACCCGGCAGGGGGAATAGGCTCCAGGGCTGGGGGATGGTGCTTCCTGGGCCTGACCTGGACGTCACATGGGGCATCTTCAGGAACTACTGGGCTGTGAGAACAAGAGGTGTAGCAGGAGAAGGGAGGCAGCGGAGGGGGCTGTCCCCCTTGGCACCCCTCCCCCCGCCCCGGGCGTGCACCTGGGGACATGAGGTCCATTGCTCTTGGGTTGAGTCCACATTCAGGAGCACGCTGCACTTTCACCAACAGGAGAACTCTGTCTTTGCCCTGCCAGGTCACAAGACATCCTGTGTATATAAATTTCCAGTGTCCCCCTCAGTGTGGGGAGTCAGAACGGGGGTGCTCCTGCACCCTGAGCTGCCAGAGCCCTGGAGGGATCCCCAGAACCCAGAGTGTGTTTGTGTGCATGTGTGTGTGCGTGCGTGAGGGGGCTCCCCTGGCCTCGGGCTGGCTTCATGTCCCTGTCTCTGCAGGTGATGCCCCAGCAAGGACCCCGCCTGCGTGGGGCAGCCCGCGGCCTCTGGCTCAGGCCACCGCCCTCCTGGTTAAGCGGCTCCGCCACACACGCCGGTCCTGGAAAGGCGCCCTCTCCGACCTGCTGCTGCCCGTCCTCTTCGTGGCCTTGGCCATGGCCTTGTTCATGGTGAGGCCTCTGGCCATCGACTACCCTCCCCTCAAACTGACACCAGGCCATTACGACAGGGCTGAAGCTTCTTTTTTCAGGTAAGAACCTTCTTTTTTCCCCTCTTTTACTTCCAAATTATGTCAGGATTATGAATAACAGTAACTTTGATCTTTTTTTTTTATGTTTTATTTATTTATTTGAGAGAGAGAGCACAGCAGGGGGAGCAGCAGAGGGAGAAGGAGAAGCAGACTCTCTGCTGAGCAGGGAGCCTGACGCAGGGCTCGATCCCAAGACCCCGGGATCATGACCTGAGCCAAAGGGAGATGCTTACGTGACTGAGCCCCCCTAGGTATCCCAGTAGCTTTGATACTTTTAAGAATCTCAAATATATGTGAGGTTTCATGATTTTGGAGCCCTGGGTTCAAGAGGGTAAGCCCATGGTCTAGAGATACTGAGTTTTTTCCTACTCATGCCTACAGACCTACGATATAGCTTCACCCCTAAATCAGGCGCAGGCAGAGCCCGACAACAGCAATAACTGAGCACTCTGAGCAACAGACTATCTACAGTGACGTGAATGTGGGCTCTCCCCGGTACTCACGTAGTTCTAGTGCCGACGCGATGAGTTCAGGATGACTTGAAGGTCTGCCTGGAGGAAAGCCAGTTACAACTGTGGGTGGTCCACAACCAGAGCTGCGGATAAGAGGGACTGTGGGGTTTCACAGAACCCTCCTGGTTGGCTCTGGGATGACGGCCAGGAGCTGTACGCCTGTCTCTGCAGAGACACATCTGACTTTTCTCTCGGGGTGGGAATGAGCCCATATGCGTCCCCAGGCTGGAGGAGGTCCAGGTTTGCTGCCGGTAAATTTGGAGTTTTATAGGAGATGAATTTGCATAGTGTGTTTCTAGGGGGTTAGTTTTACCGCTGGGGGCCAGACGGAGGGACCTCAGCTGGTTCCCTGGCTCCCCAGGATGAGGCAAGCTTTTGTCCCCTGAGCTCTGCCCCATGCTGAGAGCATCACCAACCTGAATGACCAGGTACAGCTCTCCTTCTGGAAGGTGATGCTTACACATCTGGGGACCGGGCGCAGCGCATATGACCAGGGGACGCATGGTGTGGAGGGCACGATGAGCTCTGCCTTTGTCAACTACATATCCATACTGAAAAAACAAGCTTAATTGGCCAGACTCTTGGTGCTTTCCAGTATTAGTTGCTTTTACAACGATGTGTAATTTGGAATTAGGTTTAGACAAATACAGGCAGAGAAGGTGAAATCGATGGCACATTGTCCAGTTCATGTCTTGGTCCTTCCGTTAATTGTGCTCTTCCTCTGTGTGTCCTTGTGATCCATGGAGCCTGGGATTAACTCACAAAGAGGATTCTGCTCTGTTTCGGGAAATGTGGACCGGCCCCAAGTGTTCCCTCTGCAAGTGGGCTCCTTTTCCTTCTGCCTAGATATTTTTTATTTTAATTTTTTTAAAGATTTTATTTATTTATTTGAGAGAGAGACAGTGAGAGAGAGCATGAGCGAGGAGAAGGTCAGAGAGAGAAGCAGACTCCCGCGGAGCCGGGAGCCCAATGCAGGACTCGATCCCGGGACTCCGGGATCATGACCTGAGCCAAAGGCAGTTGTCCAACCAACTGAGCCACCCAGGCATCCCCTGCCTAGATATTTTATGTTCCTGCCCTCATCTTCTCCGAACTGTTTTAAAGGAACGGACCAGAAGGACAGCGTCCACTAAGGCGTTCTGGCCCAATGTTCCCATCTGTGCCACACTCCCCAAGTGGGAAGGAGCTGCAACTATCCTGAGTTGTTTAATTATAAAATGTGTTTCTTGAAAAACGATAAGCATAGATACACAGTGTGGGGTTGTGCCAAAGTGGACAGGGTGTGGTGCTCTGTCTGGGGGTGTCCAGGAAAGCCTTCGAAAGGCTATTGCGCCTGAACTGAGTCTCCTCAATGATAGCTTGGTGCTCCCCAGGCAGGGAGGAGAAGTTTCTCCAGACAGAGGAAGAAGTATGAGTCACATGAAGAGAAATGAGGTAATCCGGCAGAAGTCTTTTTCCTGGCAGGTGCGGAAGGCGTTCCAAGCAGAGGCCGTATCCTGCAAGGACAATGAGCAGCAGCATTAAGAGGCTGTGAAATGTGGGCCGTGATCTAATCCGGTTTAGTTTACAATGACATTTCTTAAATGGTTGTTTCATGGAGAGCTGTTCCTTTGGGTATCCATTCTGAATGTCGCTAAAGAGATTCCCTCTTCCTGTTGGGACTGATTGAGGTGCAAAACAAAGTTAAATAGGTTTGTTTTTTATAAACTTCTCAGAGCTATTAGTATGTTGAACTGGCCACACAGAGCCAGATTTCCTCTGTTTGCTTACTTCGAGTCAATCCTGTAATGAGCATCTCTCTGAAGCCTGCGGAGGCTAGGACTGAACGTGTGTTCCGTACCCCATTATCCCAGCCCTCTGCCTCTGTCTAAACACACTCCAATTCTGTATTTGTTGTGAAGTGTACAAAAGAATCCCATGCATCTGAGAATGACCTTTTTCACTTCATAGTGCATGACTATGCACTTCCATATTGTTCCATGTTTCTGCATATCATTTGTTTTGAATATTGGACAGTATTCCGTGGTATGAATATACCACAACTTATTAATCTTCTCTCTTAATGATGGACATTAGGAGCTCTTTCCAGGTTTTGTTTGTTTGTTTTTGGCTTGTTTGTTTGTTTTTGCCATTGTGAACGGTGCTGCATGAACATTCTAGCATATTCTAATAAATGTCTAATAATAGTTATACCCATATAAGAGCCTCTCATGGCTGGTCCGAGAAACGTAATTGCTGATCACTTGCAGAGTATGTAAATAAATATCCTACTTTAGGAGATAATGCCAAACTTTTTCCAAAGCGGTTCCAATCTTGCATATATGTATCATCTTCGGTGCCTTTATGTATTTCTTAAAAATAGCCACCTTAAGAAAATGTTTATGCCAAAGAGGTGTATTTTGGGGAGCCATAGTCTACATTGGTTTGCGATCAGAGTTTCTGGATGCTGTTGTCCTTTTCAGAGTTATCAGGAGATGGTAGGTAGCGCAGCTCCCGCCCCCCCCCCCCCCCCCCCCCCAACCCCGCATGCCACCCCCCCACTCCTCTCACCCTCCCACCCTCCCACAGTCCCCACCACCCCTGCAGCTGCCCGTTTGCCTGGTTCTCTTTTCTTCTTAGATAATATTTTCTGTCTGTAAGCTTATAGGATTTCTTCTTTGTTTTTAGAGTGTTGGATTTTTTTCTTGTTTTTGTTTTTTAATCTTTTTCTCAAGGGATCTGCGGATTTCAGTCCAGGGGGCTCCATTAACAACAGGAAGCCCCTTTGGGGTGGTGTTTAGAAATATGTATCTGTTCTGTACCAGCAAGCTCCCTGGGTCACTCTGATGCTTGGTAAAATTTGTGAGTAACACGGAGAGAGAAACAGTATCCCGTTAGGTACTGCCTCCAGAATCAGGATTAGGCACTGATTTTCACTTTCTAAAGTCTGGTAATGACAGATTTCACTTGGTTCTAACAGCACTTTAAAATATAGCTGAGGTTTTGAAGACAAGCACAAAGTAATAGTTTTAGGAACAAGCATTTGAATCTTCAGACCACAAGGGACAATTTAAAGCCAGTCTTTTTTTTTTTTTTTAAAGCAGTGATCTCTAGACCTAAGCAAAAACCTAGTAGAAAGCAAACCATAACTTTTAAACTCGCACTTAGTAAGTCTAGTAAGTAAGCTCCAAGCAAACCACTTTGTAGATCAATATGTTTTTCAGAAAAAAAAGATTTTAAACTTTCATATTTGTTCTTGGATTAATGGGTCAAAAGAAAGCAATCCAGAGTGTTTCTACAGATGCCACAAATAATGTTTTCTTTTTATGGGCAACAGTTCAGTGGAAAATATGTCCCTTTCCTTGTAAACGTGTTTTCTCATTTGTCAGAAACTGGGAGGTTGTTTATGCAGAGGTCACAACACCGACTTAGGAGACATTACTTTGGTGTAAATTTCAGTGTGTTTCATCACTGTCCTTTCTCTCCACTGCTGTACGGAATCCTATTAGGTCAACTGTAAACCACCCGAATACTTAAAAACCTTTGTTGTGTTTTATGCAGTGGGGAAGATGGCATTTTCCTATAAGTAATTACTCTGTGCTGGATGCTACAGCCATGTTCCTATCCTAAGCTTATGCAGAGGTATGGCGCTGAAAAGAGTTGTCCTCTGCAGAAACACAAAACTAATTTGTTGTCATGAATTGGTCTTTCTTTTCTATTAAAATTGTTCCTCTCTGAAAGTTAAGAGGTCAAGGAAGACCATATTTAAGGAGGTAAAATATTTGGGTAGTGATGAAGGATTAGCCCAGTCGTAAGATCACAGTTTGCTTCATGAATTATTTTTGAGAATCTACGGTGTTCCAACTGCAGTCCTAAGCCTGGTGTCCTTTCTCCCCTGGGTCGTTTTCTCCCGTGATGAGAGGGGATCATCAGTTAAAAACTAGTGGTTTTTAAAACCACTGGTGATGTCAAAAGCCAGTGGTGAAGGTCTCCAGGCCACTGGGCAGGAACAAGAGAGAAGAGAGAGGAGGCAGAGGAGGGCTCACAGGAGAAGGAACTCAGAGCTCAAATGCCGCTGATGACTTAGAAGCAAGTGCAGGGAGAGGGGATGCACTTTTGGGGAAACTGCAGGGCAGGGGAGGAGCTGCCCAATTAAGGTGGTTTAGTGGGACTGGGCGGGGCCAGGCGGGGAGAGCCTGGATGGGAGGGGCCAACTGGGGTCAGGTGGAGTTGAGATTGGCTGGGAGGGGCGGGGCGGGGGGCAGGTGAGGTTGGGCTGGGCTGAGGTGGGTCTGGCCCGGTGGGATGGGGTGGGGTGGGGTGGGGTGGGGTGGGGCAGATGAGGGTGGGCTGGGCCGGGCAGGGGAGGAGTGGGGCGGCGTGCAGCCTTCTGGGAGACAGTGCTGGGCAGCTTTTGCCCAGAGATGGCAAGGTCCCAGGAGTGCTGGGGGCGCTTAGTTCCCTTCTCAAGGCGCATAGGTAACGAGGAAGGTCACAGGGGCGGCAGCTGATCAATGTGAAGCTGAGGAAACATTATTTGGTGTGTTGGAGGCTCACTGAGGGGATTAGGAAAATTTGAAATCTCAGTCAAATCCCATAACTGGGCAGAAGGCTGCACTGTGGGAAACACCGAGGTTTCTTTTCGTTTTGGGCTTTTATTGGTGCTTCTGGGTCGTGGAGGTTCAGTAAGACTGAGCAGCTCGCCCCCCCCTCCCCAAGCCCGTATTTGATTGCCGGGCGGATTCAGAACCGTGATCGGGAATCAGCATCTCGCTGTCTATAAGCAAATCGGGAGACGCCGTGTTTGGACAGGACACCGGGGTCTTACATTCCTTACAGGAAGCTTCTGTTTTAAGTTGTTTAAAATGAACCTTTGTGTGCATTTGTTAATGTACCTGCTGCTTTCCAAAGAGATTTGAGGCCACCCTCTACATGTAAGTAACGCTCATGCTAGTAGCACATCATTTTTCTTTATCTTGGGGGAAAGCGTTCCCTACCATGTCTATTCAGAAGCATTTTGAATAAATGATATAAGTTCTGGAAGTAATAAACCTCCTTTCTTTCGGAAATGCAGTAGTAATTCAGAGTTTTAATTACTTCAAAGAGGCCACTCCCAATAAGTACAATTTAGACAGATTTAAATGCTCTTTTCCTCTCCATTTTCTCAAGTCAAGGTATCTCTCTCACTCCATGTATGGAATGTAATAGAGTTTGTTTCCACACCTCCCCAGGTTAGAGGAATAGTGTGTCTTACCGCCGACAGTGTCTTTAGCAAGGAAATTAAGCCTTGGCTGTTCCTCAGCAACTATCACCTGACTTCTGATGTTTGTGCCAGTAAAATAAATATGATAATTGATGTCTACTTAAAGCACACACAGGATTTACCAAGAGAATGGTTGTTCCATATAGCTCACATATAGAAAAAAAAGCATAAAAATACAAACTTCTATTGCAGAGTGGCCAATAGAATATTCAGACAAACCAGAGTTCCAACATTAAGAGAATTTTTAAAATAAATTTTAATATATTAATGTGATGAGACCTTCTGCAACCTTTAAAATTCGTTTTAAAAAGCCATGCAAAAATGCCAAAGATGACAATGTTGCAGAAGTGAGAAGATGAGGACAAGAATATAGTGTGAGCGTTAATATGTAACAATTAATATGTAACAATGGTTTTGCTTTACTATACTAACTCAACAGTAAGCGTTATCTGCGATCACAGATCTAAGAATCATGTGCCCCGATCAGCTCAGCTAGGGTGTGCTGTCCTGTGATCTCTGCCAGCAAGTACTAACACGGCCACCTTATTTCTTTTGTCTTCCGATAAAGCAGCCGTGGGAGCGGGAGCGAGGGCCAGGATCTCACCCACGTGCTTCTGCGGAAGTTTGGAGATCAGGATCCACTCTGTGCTGATTTGAACCCAAACCTGTAAGTATCAGTTGTCTTTGTGAGAGTGTGCCCTCCACCCACAACCCTGCAGACCCCGAGAACCATCTCCCTGCCTGACTTGTCTTTCCCCTTGCAGGTTCATTTTATTTTCTTTTTAAAAGACTGTAATTATTTATTTTAGAGATGGGGAGAAGGCACAGAGGGAGAGGGACAAGTAGACTCCATGGTGAGCACAGAATCCACCTGAGGCTCCATCCCATTACCCTGAGCTCATGACCTGAGCTGAAATCAAGAGTGTGTGGGGTGCCTGGGTGGCTCAGTTGGTTGAACGACCGCCTTCAGCTCAGCTCAGGTCATGATCTTGGAGTCCCAGGATCGAGTCCTGAATCGGGCTCCCTGATCGGGGAGTCTGCTTCTCCCTCTGACCTTCCCCCTCTCATGCTCTCTCTCTCATCTGTCTCTCTCTCTCTAATAAATAAAATCTTAAAAAAAAAAAAAAAAGAGTGGGTGGATTAATCCACTGAGCCACTCAGCTCCTTCACCCAGCCCGCCTTGCAACGTTAAGTGACATACATTAGCCTAAGGAGTCAGTTAGGCTACATAGTTGCCCCTTCTTTCCTTGGTAAACACAAATACAAGCTTTATATTATAACTAAGAAATTAATAATTAATAGTATTCAATTTGTCTGATAAAACCCAAAGGTAAAAAGCATGAAGTAGCAAGTAAATATGAAATGTGTGGTAACTTACTTTTAGGGAAAACTTGTACCTAAGGAAAGACTGTATTTTTTATTTTTAACCAAAGGAACTTAAAATGGTTCACCTGTTCGAGGTGAATTTCGTTGAAGATTTTTTTCCTTCTAAGATTTGAAAGTGATAACATCGAGACAACTTTTTAACGAAACTCGTGAAAGCCTGCCTTTCTTCGTAAAGAATTTCCTCTCTCAGTTTGCTTGACTGTTACTTATTGAGCATCTACTATAAGAGCAGTGCTGTGGGAGGAACCGGGGTTGATGTCTGACCTGGCCCTGCTCCAGGAATGGACAGTTCCGGGAAGAGCACGTGGGGAACGTGATAAAACCACAAGGATGTGTTAAGTACCAAACTGTACGCTTTGGAGTCATAAATATAAAAATCTAGACAATAATGCACTATTGACAGTAGGTTTTTCTAATGGGCGAGGACACATCAGTGCATTAGTCAAGTCATCAATCAGGAGGGAATAACTATTAGGGGCTCGGTATGGACGAATTAATGGGAAGTTAATTATGTCGCCTCACTGTAGTCTGGTGTTGAAAAACAAAGTAATTCCGTTTACTAAGCAGGAGCTTCCATGGCAATACCATTGTGTCCGCCCCTTTGCTGCACCCGGGGTGGGGGGGTGTGGGGGGTGTTGAATGTAAAACAGGCTTGGAGAAACTGACCAGCAGCCCAGGGCCTGTGGAGAACTGGGCTGGCCCTGCCTGTGGAGTGTGGCTGGCTGATGAAAGGACGTTTTTTTAAAAAAAGATTTTATTTATTTATTTGAGAGCGAGAGAGATCGCACACAAGCGGGGGCTGCTGCAGAGGGAAAGGGAGAAGCAGGCTTCCTGCTGAGCTGGGAGCCTGATGCAGGGTTCGACCCCAGAACCATGAGATCATGACCTCGGTCAAAGGCGGACGCTTAAGGACTGAGCCACCCAGGCGCCCCCAAAGGACATTTCTTTATCGAATTTCTCCAGAGAGGGAAAAAGTAGATTCAGTGCTAAGAACAGCAGAACATATTTAGAATTGCAGTTCCTTTCCTGGCACTCCTGATGGCTCCCCATCCTCATCCCTCCCCAGGCTCAGAACCCCCTCCTTCAGCTGCTCTCCCCACCCCCTGCAGCTAGCTCACCCTCCTTGGTTTTTCTCTTCAGGCTTTCTTTTCCTTCCAGAATCTGTGTGTTGGTTTTCTCCTTTCTCTGGGGAAATGCACAGGGTCTATTCTTAACCATTCCTATTTTGTAACCTTTCCTGCTCCTTTGTCTTGGTCACAGGGACAAAAGGCTTGGGGTGGGGGGGGCTGCCTCACTCAAGAATGTTATTTTAGGGGCTGAAGGCTTTTCCTTTCTTCCCTTCTAGGTTCTTTAGCAGGTCTAATAATTAAATCCTTCTAAGACAAATGAACGGGAGAAAAACAAATTTAATTAGTATGTATGGGAGCTCAAAGAAGTGACCAAAGCAATCAGCTGGGACACCTTTTAGACTAAGAGACAATACATTTGTAAAGAATCTACAAAACAAAGAGGTTTGGGCTTGGGGTAGGCCATTGGTAAAGAAGAAACAAGGTTTGCTTATACAGGATTCTCCAGAAAAGAAGAGAGGGTACCTTCCTCAGGGAGACATTTCTCCTACTTTCAGGACAAAGGGTCTGAGTGCCTGGCCTCCACCAGCTCTTTCCTCTGTAAATTTAATCCAAAATAATCAATATATCACGGTTGCATATTTTGGGGCAGAATGCCCTGGGCCCGTCACTATGAATACTTATATTAATAATTTCTGCCCATGTGACAAAAATAGGCTTGATTTACTAAGATCCCAGATGGAAGCAAAAGGTTTTCCTTAAGACAAGTAAATTTCCTTCTGTAAGTGAAAGCTAGTCCTGAATTTCGGGATATCTGTATTTTCCTTTCCTGGCAGACTTGACCAATCATTTCATTGTTAAATTAGAGGAATCATTTTAAGATACTAAGTGGGATTCTGCTTACGGGTTATTTTTCTGTTGAGTTCCTCTGAGTCTCCTGTGGAAGGGTATGATGATGAATGCCTGACGTTTACCTCTTTTTGCACGGAAGGTAATAAAGAGCTCCAAAAAAATTAATTGTGGTATAAGCCTGACCTAAAATACAAGTTTTCCCATCATAATACATGATGTGTTATTTAAATTTTAAAATGTGCTTGAAGTTGCCAGTTTTTGAAAGGCAACTTGTAGCTTTCAGTATTTCATTTCATTTTACCAGGTTTGTGATCGGGTGACACTTTCCCCTCCGTCTCTGAGGCAAAATGGTCCCTTTGCCACCCATGCTTGTTGATGCTTTACAGAGAACAAGAGTGGAAGGAAGCAGATTTTTTTATTTCCACTGAACTGTGAAAGCCAGGTGGGGAGAGGTGGAAGGTCATTTCCATGATCCGACGGTCTGTAGCAGTATGAGGAACCGTCTCGTTGTCCTCTGACTCCCAGGGCTCCTGAGGTTGGGTCCGCAGCTAGGAGCAGCCGGTGACACATTCCTTCGGGGGAGACTCAGGATGTTGAGGTGAAGCCCTGAGATCCAGAGGAGTGCGCAGATCCGCCCTGGTGGGGAAGGGGCAGAGAGCCCGGCACTGGCTGCCTGAGCCCACATCTCAGCTCTACCTTGTCTCTGCCGTGTGTCATGGGCAAGTTCCTAACCCCAGCTCTGTTTCTGCATCCCGGGCTCCCGGTTCTCTAGAAAGAGCAGCGCTCAGCTCAGGTGGTCCTGTTATTGGACCGGGTATCTGTTCTGAACTCAGGTTCAATGGTTCGCTCCTGGAAACCTGATACTTGAGGGACAAAGGGTGGTGGGTGAGGAAAGTCTGCTTCATTCAGGAAGCTGGCTATCTGGGAAGATAAAGTGGGCTATGGTCCCAAAGGCCATCTTCTAGGCCAAGCGGGAGAATTTTAGAGGGGAGGTGCTGGAAAAGCGCTGGGGTGGGTGGGTGGGGGGGCTCCCTGCCAGAGAAGTGAGTGCTTGGTGCTGAGTCACCTGTCCACAGGACCCTGAACAGACTTGCTGGCATTGGCAGGTGTTCTCAAATGCAGTCAGAGCTGGTCTTCTGGGAAATTCTGGTCCTTCACTCTCCAGGCCAGTGGTCTGCAGATCTCAAGGCGAGTGAGTGAGGTCTGCTATAGACCAAGGGGCTTAGGTCCTCGAGCAAGGCACTTTCGGCTTGAAGTCAGTTCAGCCTTCAGACGGGCTGAGGTGCCCTTGCTGCCCCCGTGGGAAGGGCTGTTGTTTCTTTAGGCAAGTTTGTGTCTCAGGGCCCTTTCCTCCTGAGATCAGGCCCTTAGGGCAGCTCCCTCCTTCTGAGATTCAAAATGCACACCAGACAGGAATCTCAGCCTCCCCTGCATTCAGGAGATCTGAAACCCAGCATTCCCGAATGCCGCATCCCAGACCGGAAGAAGCCAGGTTCTCGCTGACCTGCTTCCGTGGACACAGCAAGGGTCTTCTTGTCGTTGCCTGGATGCATTGCACCTTGGTGGGAGTACGTGGGAGCAACACAGCCCAGAGCCAGGAGCTCAGGGCACCAAAGACCTGTCCTACTCAGTGTGACCTTGGACGAGCTCTCTCTCAGAGCATCCACTTCCCCTTCTGAAAAGTGGGGCCAGCGGGACATTTTGGCAAAAATCCCGGCAGGGTGTCTGTTGTTTGGGAAATGTTCGTTTCCTCCCTTCTTGACCAAGTTTTGAGGAGAGAGGGATGATTATTACTAAAGCAACTTCTGATTTATGAACATCAGGAAAAAAGAGATGGAGACTCCAAGGGTGAGAGCCCCCAGGGAACTTCAGGATGAAAGGTTTGGAGCCACTCCACGAGGTCCTTTCCTCACCGTTTCTGTCCAGCAGCCTTTCTTCATACTGGAAAATTAATCCTTGTTTTTCTTTAAATGCTGATTAAATCGCTGTGTCGCGCCATGAAGCCAAATTAGCAGCTCCTGTGCTTATCGCTTGCTGGAGTGGTGCGCAGAGCGGAGTGCCCGAGAGCAGGTGTCTGCGCAGGCAGACGAGCCCCCGGCCCCGGCGCTCATCCCCAGGAGCTTTGGTAGCACTTTTTGTACAGCCAACCAAGTGCGCATCGTTTAATAGAATGGAAACATTGTCATTGTAATGAAACGTTGTCATCAGATTAGCAGCTCAAGCTGTGAAGACAAATGTAAGAGCTCTGCCTTCTGCAGCAGGAGATGACTATCTCCTGCGCGGCTCTGGGCTGATGCAACTCGCTTTTATGGAAATCAACGAGCTCTGTAATCGAAAGATCATCCTGAGTCTCTCCTTTGTTTGCTAGGAGGAACTCTTCATGCTGGCGCGTGGATCCCCCGTCTCAGGCCCGAAAGCCCGACTCCTGCGGCTGCCTGGTAGGTTTCTACAGTGTGTTTCATCCTTTGTAGGTTTCAAACCTCAAGTCACAAAAACGAGCTTACTCCATCTACGACGTCTACGACGTCTTCATTACAGTTAACTCAGGGAGCTTCTGCGACTCTCTGCTTGACCTGATTAGCTGGTTCTGGGAAAAGTTACAGTACACAGAGTGGACATTTACATGATATGATGTTCTGTGGACTCTACAGTGAGCTGGGATGTTCTTTGGGCTCTACAGTGACCCTGCTACTCATTTTTTGCTGTTCATGACCATTGACATCTCTGACAGCATTTAATAAGCACATTAATCTTCAATTCATGAGAAAGAAGCTAGAATTGCCTTTTGGGGAGACATTTCCCCCAATTTTAAGTCAGGATGACCTCCAGCGTCCTGTCTTATACGTGCTGGAGTGTGGAGAGCTGCATATTAGAAGCTAAGGTACCACCTGTCTCGTCTGATTACGGCTGTCCTACAGAAATAGATGGGGGTATGGATTCCACTGTTAAAGCGGGGCTCTAAGCTCTCCGCTCTTCGCCAGGGTGGGAATTGGAACTTACTTAGCTGACTGGAACTCATCTCAAAACAAATGTCAAAAGGTAATTAATAAGAAAGCCTCAGCCTGTTAGCCACACTCGCCAAGCTAACATGCAATCCTGATTTCCAGAAAGGAAAAGCAAGTCTCAGTTGAAATGGACCAAGGGTCTGCTAGGAAAACATGGTCCCATGAAGCCCATGTTTCCAGGGGTTTTCTGTTTAGTGGAACATGGGATATATTTCTTTTACTAGCGTAGTGACTTGAGGAGGTTTTTTTTCTGGATGGAACTGGCCTGTTTTCTTCTCTGACGCAGAGCGTGGGCACGTGAGTGAGAGCAGTGGCACAGCCCCGTGGCAGAGGCGTGGTTGGTGGCTGACCTGAGAGTTTGCCGAGACTCCACCCATGTCCCGGGGCCTGGCTGTCCGGCTGCTCAGCCATCTTGCATGCTCCTTTGCAGGGACAGCCCAGCTACCTCTGGTGCCCGGTTTTTTGGACACAACGATGGATTCCTCCCTCTCTTGTTTATTCCCTTCTCTTATGAAACAACTAATTTTTCATTCTGTGCCCTTATTCCTGGCCTTGATTTAATCATTCTGTTCAATCAGCACCTTTTCCTGTGAGCTACCTTAGCTCCGTTGTCACTAGACTGGGTGTCAGTGGCAAAGAAACGAATGACAGAGATGTTCCTAAACTCACGCCAACTTGCATGAACCATAACATTGCAGTATTATGCACGGAGGGAAGAAAGGTTCCTGTGAAATAGCCAGACAAACCTCGGACATGCAGGTTGGGACGCGCTTTGAGAAATGCTGCTCCACACGTTGGGAGGCAGAGGACTCTGGTCCAGGAGACGGGACGTCCAGGTGGAAATCAGACCTGCTGCACGGAATGGTGCCGCCTTACAGGCTGGCCCAGAGGGGCCGCACACGGTGTGCGGGAGGACTGCCAGTACCCAGCGCTGCGTCTCCACTCTCCAGAGATCATGCTGAGCCCAGTTACTGGAAGGCAAAGTATTTCTCTCCCCTTAAATTCACAGGTGTCACCCAGAGGCCCTGGTGTGCATGAATACGCCCATTCCCTGGGGTTTTCATTGATTGTGTGAGTCTCTCCGAACCTACAGCAGTGATCCAGGGGCAGCCCTGCTTCTGAGGGGGGACATGTTACTTTGTGGACATGCCACTGCAAGGGAACTGGAATCGAGCTGGCTCCGGAGAACAAGGGGTTGTTTCAGGCTTCAGTGTCCCGGGAGAACCCCAACATATGACTCAAAGCCTGCCATCAGCAAAGAGCGTGGCTTGCCACAGACCGAGTGGAGGGAGCACTCGCTTCCTGTCTCTGCTATAATGACTTGTCATAGATAGGGTGCCTTCAAGCAACAAGTCCATCCTATCACTGCCTCGAGTCAGACGTCTGAAAACCGGTGTACAGGGATGAAATCAGGGTGCTCTGCCTGGAGGCGGTGACAGGGTCTGTTCCTATCCCTCCCAGCTTCTGCTGACTCCTTCCTTCCTGTTCCTTGTCCTCCTCTCTCTCTGCCTCTCCCTCTTCCAAGGGTGCATGTGCCAGCTTTAGGACTTACCCTGACACTCTAGATAAGTTATTTTGCACTTTCTTATGTATAAAGTTGGTAGAAACTTATTTTTTGCTTTGTATCATTGAAATACATTTTGTTTTGGTAAATGAACTGTGTATAAAATATTTATGCCGTTAAAACTGTTTTTAGAAAGTATTTTTAATTTCAGCAAGTTTGGTTACTTGTTGCGTGACTATTAACACAGCTGACTTTTTGTGTCAGTGCAATGTATATTTTTTTGTCCTGTTACTAACTTGTAAGCCCTAGTAACGGCCGATTATTTGTACAGCAACAGAAGTAAATTTGAAGATAACTGGCTAAAAAAAAAAATGCTTACTTGAATAACGTCTGCAAAGTTTGCCATCAAAGCCCTTACAAGTACGTTCCCGAGATTCAGACCTGACACCTCCGCAGGCCAGTGTTCAGCTTACTACAGAGGGCATGTTGGGGTGGAACCAAACAGATAAGATTAGAAAGAGAAACCAAGGACATGTTCTAGTGCACCTGACTTCTCGATTGGAATTTGAATTTTTCTGCAAGGCAAGCACCTGAGTGAACCCGGCTGCTCTAGAGAGATGTGTCCATCTAATCCAGATGGATTAGAAAGGAAGCTGGAGGTAGGGAAACCAGACAGGGTGTTGCGTTCCCCTGGACTGAGGTCACTGACATCTGCAGAAACTGATAATGACTCTCATTCCTTTCCCCGTCTTTCCTGTCCATTCGATCACAAACCTGGAAGCCTTATCTTGAATTTATCTATGACCTTTACTTGCCATCCTTTTACAGGTGTCTGATCCCTTGAAACCCAGGAGCTGGGGGAGGCTGGGTTCACTTCCAGCGTGCGGATGGGAAAGCTTTAGAAGCTGAAGTGAGCTCCTGGTGGTGTAGCTGCCTGAGTGGGTTGTCTTTTCTAGACCGTTCTGGGAAACAGAGTCTGGATCCTGATGGTGCTGGGGCGAGCCTCTCTGAGCAGCGTGGCTCTGGGCAGGTGTCAGCCCTCCCAGTGAGTGCTGGACCAGAGCCATTTGGCTTCTACTTACGGGACTTTTGCGAGAGACATGGTCTCTTGAATTCTACTGTGTAGTGACCCTCAACTCAGTGCCTCAGTTTCATCAGATGCCAGATCACCCCTGTGAGAGTATTGTTCCCTTTTGAATTCTTGCAAATCCACCCAAACTTGCATGCAGAGAAGGATGTGAAGTTCCCAGTCAAAACCGCGGGAGAAGGTCACAGTGGGATTCTAGTATAATTCTCAAACGCAGGTGACTCTCAAGGAGCTTAGCAAACCAGAGCACGGAAAAGCCCACAGAGAAGTTATGAGAAAAGGAAAAGGAAGCTGGTGAAAGTCATGTTGAAAGTTATTTCAGAGAGGCTGTGTGTGGGTTATAACAAAGTTTCTATTTTCCCTCTTTGGAAACAATTACAGAAGTGTCCAAACACAAGCACTGGGGCTCCCTACCTGACCAACCGCCAGGGGCACACTTTGCTGGACCTGTCAGCCTTCCACCTGGAGGAGTACTTGCTGGTGCCGTCGGAGAGACCCAGGTGGGTCCAGATTGTCCCTGGGTCTTTTCTGTTCTTCAGGTCACTGTGGGAAGCCTATTGTTTCAACTGCCAGCATTCTTTTTCTTTTCTTTTCTTTTCTTTTCTTTTCTTTTCTTTTCTTTTCTTTTTTTTCTTTTCTTTTCTTTTCTTTTCTTTTCTTTTCTTTTCTTTTCTTTCTTTTCTTTTCTTTTC